CCTAGTTACTAGTAGCTTCTAGCTACTAGTAGTAATGGCCTTGTTACCAGTAGCGATGCCCTAGTTACTAGTAGCTGGGTAGTAATGCCCTTGTTTCTAGTAGCGATGCCCTAGTTACTAGCAGCTTCTAGCTACTAGTAGTAATTAATGCCCTTGTTACTAGCAGCGATGCCCTAGTTACTAGTAGCTAGGTAGTAATGCCCTTGTTACTAGTAGCGATGCCCTAGGTACTAGTAGCTTCTAGCTACTAGTAGTAATGTCCTTGTTACTAGTAGCGATGCCCTAGTTACTACTAGTAGTAATGTCCTTGTTACTAGTAGCGATGCCCTAGTTACTAGTAGCTTCTATCTACCAGTAGTAAAGTCCTTGTTACTAGTAGCTACTAGTAGTAATGCCCTTGATACATCTTGTTACTATGGCACGCTGTCTCCAATGTGCCTCCCAAACGCGGTGGGTATCGAGACCATGTCCCCAAGGTGCTGCAACGAAGGACACAAGCCCCAAGAGCTGCAGAAAACGCGTCCACGGCACCTGATTTCGGCGCAGGCTACTAGGGGCTCCTGGCCTTACTACTAGGAGCAAGGATGCTACTAGGTTGTCTTTAAGGCTTTCCAAACCAGGGCCATGGGGCCATGGGGGCCATGCATGAGAATTCATGAGGCTTCGCTGATATTCTCTGCATGACACATAAATAATACATCGACATATACACGTGTTGTATATATACACATAGGATATGTATAATATATATATATATGTATACACATGTGCCTGCCAACTTCTTGCCTTTGTGTCTTTGCTGATCTAATTCGATCTGCATTGCGTGTCATTGTTGGATTGTGAGGTCAAATCAATAACCTGGATCGTGTAGATCCTGTGGGCGCCAGGGCACTGGTCTCCAAGAGCTTCCCAACATCTGGCAGGCACACCGCCGGTGGCCACAAGTCTGCCTCGTTTGGACTTGGGGAAACATGTGTTCAAAACATTGTTTCAACGGATTGTTTTAAACAATCTAAAAAAAGGAAGCGAACTTGCAAGGACGCTACTAGGGGCTCCTGGCCTTACTACTCGGAACAAGAAGCTACAAGATTTGAAGCGTCAAGTCAGAACTCAAAGCACCCGAAGCGGGGCGATGGCCCTCGCGGCTGCCACCAATAATTCCCACGAGGTGGAAGCCACCAATAGCTGCTGTGACAATCCTCAGCGACAGGTGGCTTCGACATGTTTCAAATGCTTCAGGCAGCTAAAATATAACTTTACACAGTGATGACTTGACTGTGTCAGAGATTAACCGGCATTTTGCAATCACGCAACCACACTGCACCACTCAAAAATGATTCACTGCCACTGACCGCCCCTGTGAAGTTGGTGAAATCCATCCGTTTCGTACAAGGCATTTGACTTTCACACTTCACAAGGTCCAAAACCACAAGCAACAAGGCGTCAGTGAAATGCAGCCAGTCCAAAAGTCAACCCACTGGAATTAAAGTTGTATCCCGTTCCCATCTGCCATGACTCGACTGGAAAAAGGAGCTCCATGTATCTTGCATGAAAAGGCCCCGCAGCCTTCGCTCACGGCAACATTGAAAGTGGCCGAGAACAAAGATAAGAAAGATAGAATGTAAGTGCTGTGACACCTAAGCGGCCCTTACTCTCTTTTTTCTCGGCCAATCAGGAAAAATTAGAGAGAGAGAGAGAGAGAAATGACTCCTATGAGAACTCCTAACGATGAATCCTAATTAGTGTAATGGGACGGAATAATAACAGTTTTCGCCAAATTATTCACACACCCTGATTAGTTAATGGGTCGGAATAATCCGCCGACCCCACACCGTGGGGTGAGGCGTGACTGTCGATGTTGGCCTTAGCCTTAAGCCTTAGCCTTAGCCTTAGCCTAGCCTTAGCCTTAGGCTTAGCCTTAGACCTTACCTCCCCTACCCCTCCGGACCCTTGTTGCAGTGACGAAATTGTGACCAAATTGCGACGTGATTGTGACAAAAAAGCGACGTGATTGTACCCTGGATTGTCCATTCCCATTGATTTACATCTTGGGGCACCCTCTCTACCCGCGCGGGAAAATAAGCACGGTCCAAAATGGTCCCGGGCTCGAATCCCGGGCTGGTCGCGGCGTGTTTCCTAGATTTTGGGACAATTTCTGTT